AGAGAGAGAGAGAGAGAGAGAGAGAGAGAGAGAGAGAGAGAGAGAGAGAGAGAGAGAGAAGAAAGACAAGGAGAGAAGAGAGAGAAGAGATCTATGGTGTTACTTACCTGTTGAGCGCCGTTCTTGATGATTGGCTGCTGGCGCTGATGAGCGCCAGGCCAGGAACTCACGTTGGATGAAGAAGACTTGTACTTCTGTTGGGCGCTTTACATTTTGAACTCGTGATTCTCTACTTAATTTGGTTATGATAATTGAGTTGCGCTTTCTGGCGACCACTCATCTTACATTGTACTTCGTGTGGGACCTTGCAATCTGTGTGATTGTGTGACATGCATGTTATCTGGAACACTCCAGCAAGTGACGAACTATCAGGTTCCTTGCATTCCCTAGTTTACTACAAGGGCCTACTTTTCAAAGGCCATGTGTCTCTCTTCCTGACCTTCACAATTTTTCTAACTAGTAACCACCACTCTCTTGACTACCTTCCTCCCCCCCCCCCCCCCCCCCTCCCCCCTCTCTGAACCCCTCCCCTTCCTCCCCTCCGGCTTTCCTTGCTGAATTCAAAAGTAGAGTCATGACAGTTCTTCCTGGCCCAGAAACCGCCGTTTGTATATCCCAGGGGAAGACGACGAAGACGTCCGTTCAGGGGAACACAGAACCATCCCTTAGTCAGAGTTAAGAAGCGGGTACGCCCTTTTTTAAAGTTTTTTTTTTTTTTTTTTTTTTTTTTTTTTTTTAAGAAGTGGGTACGGCCTTCTGAAAAGCAGATCCAGTGGCTTGATATGTTGAACCCCTGGAGGAGTACAAAGGCCAGGGTGTCATCGGGAATGATGTTCGTTTTGTCTTCTTTTTTTCCGGGGGAGGGGGGGGGGAAGGAGGGATCGGGTGGGGGTTTGTGGTTTGCATGTATCCAGGGGATTCACCCGCGTGTTGACGAAGCCAGCTTTTTTAATTTTAATAATTTATTGATTTGCCAATTTGGACCATTTCTCAATTTGTGTGTCATCCTTGTGCATGGGCCATGCTCATATTCTCCGTATCTTTCCAGTTAAGAACTTTTCACAGATATATCTGGAACATTGAGGCTATTGGTCGGTTGATTTCTCGCTCCTATTGGAGTGTAGCCATGTGGAAAGGCATTGTTTTTTTAGTCTAAAATGCAAAGGTTCAAAATTCAAATCATACTACCTAGCAGCAGGGACGTGAGGCATGCTGTGCACGCACAGGCACACAGGCAAAGGCATTGGTTTTTAATACCGACGTGCAAGAGCATGGGGGATGGCGGAGGGATGGATAGACCTCTCCGGCGCACGCACTCTGCGCCGTCCAAACGTTCTCTGCCAGAATACACATCTGAAATTGCACAGCTCTCTCTCTCTCTCTCTCTCTCTCTCTCTCTCTCTCTCTCTCTCTCTCTCTCTCTCTCTCTCTCTCTCTCTCTCTCTCTCTCTCTGTGACACAAACAAACAAGAAAACACAAACACAATTTTTCCGGGGGCAGGCAGGGGGTGATTGCACCTGTTGCCCCTCACTGGTTCGTTTTTCAGTCCCGTACGTTGTGCTGTGCGCCTAGACACACGAGGTGCACTATTGCGTGCCGTACATGCGCGTTTCGTGTGCAAGTTGCACGCTGCACGCTGCAAGTCTGGTTCGAGCCCCTCTACCACGGTGATGAATTCCACTTCATCATTCGTTGTGCCGAAACCTGACGTGTTTGTCCTTTGGGACATCCGTTAAAATTGGAATGATACAGAGAAGAGTAGCTTGGCCCCTGCGCAAGGATGACACACATACATCGAGAAATGGTCCAAATTCAAAAAAAAAAAAAAAAAAAACCTGACGTGATAAACTTCAGACAATACAAACCAGTTTCAAAACATTTTTCAAGAGAAGTACTGCGATTGGATGATCAAAGGGGCGCAAGATGACAGGGCAGAGAGCGAATTCAATGAGAAAAGATGACCACATGTCAGGCATGACACATCACAGTAACTATATAGTGATCACCATAGCCAGGCCAGATGTCTGCAGCTCATCACCCTACCTACCTGCACACATGGATCCTCTGTCATGAATGCGCTTGTGTTTGTCAGACAAATCTCTTCCTCATTAGCTCTCTGCTCTTCTTCCCATGCCTCCTGTTCCTTCTGTCTCTTCTCCTCTGCCTGACACAGGTGTGCCCTTGCATAATCACAATTGATCTCGTGTCTGATTCTTCTCTAAGAGAAGCAAAACAACCAAACGCAAAGATGCATCCTCGTTAACTTCGATGCTTTATTTCCCCCCTTACATACCATCATCATCCACATATGAAACTACAGTAGTGTCAATCAAGAGCAAAATCAATCCATCAACAATCGAACACACCCACCTGCCCACCCACCCACCCACCCACTCACCACCCCTACCCACCCCTACCCAAACCCCCACCCACCTCAACCCACCCTCCCAACACACCCACCCACCCAACCTCCCAGTTGTAGATAATGGTTACATTCCAATATCGCCCACAGAATTGAGTACAACAGTACTACAACTGTATTTCAAGATACTGTTTATGCTTCCAGTTTCCGCTTTTCATCTTGGCACATGGGAGCCTCTATCAGTCTATCATAGCAAGTTTTTTTTTTGTTTTGTTTTTGGCAGATGTGAGCATTAATGGAATCAACGTTATCAAACGTTTGGAGGCCTTGACCAGCAACTTTTCCTGATCCGGGGACCAAGTACTCAAGTACGTGCTTCAAATTCTTCTAGGCAAGTCTCTGGGGTTACTACAACCACCCGCTCATCCACCGGCCCGCCGGCGCACCTGACTGACCAACTGACCTGTGTGCGTTTTTTTTGTTTTTTTTTTGCGGGGGCGCTCCGGCCACTTCGAAATTGAAATTCGCGGCTGGTACCTATGTAGGAGGGACATGCTCCAATGAGTGAGTTGAAAACACCACTATGGGGGTGACTGAATATTCGAGGTCAGGATCGTCAGCTTCGCTGAAGAAATTGGGAATGACCAGGACCATAAGGACCTGTTTAACAACAACAAAAAAAAACAAAGAAAACCAAACAAACAAAAAAAGACTTCAGAAATCTTCAAAATCCCCAATTCATTCAACATTCCAAATTCACCAGCGAATATGGCGGAATCTGACGGAGTTCGTCCGATCAGATCTGAGCTCCGTCAACGACTCGAAAACTGATGGGGGCCAAATTCTGAGCCCGATAAACCAGCAGGTTGTGTTGCAGAGCCGGGGTTGTCCGATCCGTCTGGAGTGTTGTGGACCATATGCGATGCATCTACTCATCGGGCGCCACACAAAACACGGGGAAAACGCCAAATGCGTTGCAACTTGCGCGTGGAGACCAAAAACAGCATTCGACTTCCTTGTTGTTCCTAAAAACTCTGCAGCAGAAATGTCCTCCTGAGTCCTGACACTTTGAAGTTCACTGTACGCTTGGCTGCTGAATTCTGCCACGCGATCGACGATATGCAGAAGGGTTCAGACACTCAGAGTTCATGACTACAGTCTTCCCGCAAATAAAACGTACGGTCATTATAGCAGCTGAATTTGGGATATCTTTCAGTCTAAATACAGCTATAATGACCATACATTGTATTCGGGGGAAGAAGGTAGAGATAGACTGCAACAACCCAAAACGTTCACAAACTGGACTAACATAGTAGGTTAGGTAGCGTGAGGCATATCAGTGAAGAACAGGGTTGCACCGGCGCCGACCGCCGACCGTTTTGCCCCGACCGATCGGCGGTCCGCCGACCAGTCAGAAAACAACCATCCACTGATTTTTTAAAAAATCTGAGTTGGGGGCTGTACTGCGCTTGCTGAGTACAGCCCAAATCCGCTGAGAAACTTTTGGGGATGGGGGGGGGATGGGGGGTTGGGGTAGGAGTATACGGGTGGTATAGAAGGGGTATAGGGGGGTATAGGTCAGGTATAGGGGGTATTGTTGGGGGGGGGGGAATGAGGGTGTTGGGGGCGGTTTGGGGGTGTACGGACGTATTGGGGGCCGCTGTGGGGGTGTTGGTGGTGTTCTTCGGGGTTCTGGACCCCCGCAAAAAAAAAATAAATAAAAAAAAAATAAAAAAAATAAAAATAAATAATAATAATAATAATAATCTTTTTTTTTGTGGGTGCCGATGACCCCCGACCGGTAGGTGCTGACCAGCCGACCGGTCGGCGGGTCGGCAGCCGACTCGTCAAGGGCCGCCGACCGTCGGCGTGAGCAACACTGGTGAAGAATATAAAAAAGAACATCCTAGGAAACATCGTCAGGACTGTTCTGGGTAATGAATAAAGATTGGACCATAGCCACGGGCAGAAGGAATCGAACGAGGGACGCCAGTCTAGAAAGCCATAGGCCTGATACTCCATACTGGACGTCGCTTCTTCAAATCTTGAGAAAAATAATCCCTAACAAGTCCAACAGACCTAGATCTAAGGATGAAGTACTAAGGCAACCGCTCTTCGGAAATCAATAGGTGACAAATGAGGGCGATAACCCCCTTTTCTTGGAACACAGGTGGCTCTCATGGGTCAAAAATGGCATATGGAAAGTCGCCCACATATGGAATGAGAACAGAAAAGAATGGAAGACAGAACAGGAAATTAGATCCCAACTGAACGGATGCCCCAAGCGAGGACCCAATCTCCGGTACATTGTCAGCCTCATTCCACAGGAATGGAAAGATATCTTGACGGAAGCCGCCCCATGGAAACCCGGAGAATGGGGACTTAAGATACAAGAAATGATTCCCTCGAGAGACTTCCAATTTTCCCACATGCAACGAGATTCACACACCAAGGCCACCTTCCTCTCCTTCCCAATCTCCACAACTGCTACCAGTACACCGACTATCCTGAATAACAATGTGGAGTCGGTAGTCTTGGACTCCTTCCTACTCAGGAAGATAAGGGTCCTTGGCTCTTGGCCCAAGTTAATCTTTAGACCAGACACAGCAATCCACAACTTGGAGTTTGACTCAGCTGAATGGGCATGGATGCCGGACAAGACTAAGAACATCAAATCCAAAACTCCAATTCAAGAGTATACAGTTAAACTAGGATACAAACTGTCACTGAAAACCAAAGACCCCGACCCTATCATTGAAAAAAGATGGCACAATCTACTGGGCCAAGAGGCAGACAATCTCACACAGATCCAATGGAAAAAGTTCAAGCTCATCAGGCCAATCAAAATCAGAAGCTTACAATGACTAATCGCCTACGCGGCATTACCAGTGAACCAATGGCTACACACGAGGTGTAAGAGTTCAGATCCCAACGGCTTGGACTTGTGCGTGGTTTGTAATGAAGGGACGGTAGAGGACATAGTTCACTGCCTAATACATTGCAGAGAGGCGACAGACTACTGGGCAAGAGCATCGGCACTCTGGAACTCCCTATTCCCAACCCCCTTCCCCGAACATCCCATCCAACTTCTCCTCTTGACTAACATCCCTCAACAGCTCCGGAAGGCGGGAAAAATCTGGTTTGGACTCATCAGAAAGGTTACATTATGGGTCATATGGAAAGAAAGATCCAGCAGAACGATTGAAGGACTGTCCAACCCACGCGAGAAAGTTTGGGTGGAGACGAAAACGATGATACAAGCCGAAATCCTCTGCAGGTGGAGGAAGACCAAGCAGTCATGGATGGAGGACGAGGAACAACGAAAGAAGGTCAGAAGGACCTTCAGCAAGAACTCGTTGATAAACAGCAAGATTGCAGAGTTACGAGAAGACTGCATCTGCTGGAAAGAGTGGCACAACTCAACCCCAGGAAGGATTCACCAACGGCAGATAACTGCGGATGGACAAGACATCCCATGATCAGACATCCAAGAGGGGGGAATAAGACGAAAGTAAGGGTCACATAGAGCAGGATAGTAATGGAGGGTTTAGGGATTAGGGGTCTAAGGAATTCTCAGAGAGGGTAGAGAAATTTAGGACAGGGGTCAGGATGGCTTTTGGATAAGGATGGATAAGGCAAGACTCTCACTACCAGACGAGGACGAGTAACAGAGCACAGAACAGTTGAGTTTTACTAAGATCTGGCTGATTGAAGGAAAGTTGCAAAGAAAGAGATCTCCTATGTCCAGTGGAGGGACTGGCACAACTCACAAGGTGCTAGGAGAAAACCAAGTTACCTTGCGATCAATGGAGTAGTCCCGATACAGACAACAGCGTCCTATGCTGAGCAACAAGGATATCAGGCTCCCGGGAACTTTGGAAAGGAAGGAGATTCAGATTAGTGACTGGAGCCAGATCCTACCACTTTCTCTCGTTTTGAATAGATCTTTTTGACAGGCCCAAGAGGGGAACCTGAGAGGAGCAAGTTGTTAGGGCAAGCTGACAGTCAATCCTCCATCAAGGGAGCAATCAATGCTGGTCAGGGGTCCTTCAGCCATATGGAAGGAAGCGTGAGTGTGTTTCATGATGTAATATTTTTCTGACTCGCCGGGGGAATAGGAACCGGACTGATGCTCCCCAGAAAAAAAAAAAAAAAGGAGACATCGTCGAGCATCACCAATCAGGAAAGGAGCATCGTGCGCGCGATTAGTGCTGATTTCTCATAGGAGTTAGGAATCTCTAAGAAACTGCTGCCAAAGTGGCTTGGACCGTGGAAGATTGTGCATGTCATGGAAGACGATACAGAAGGGCCAATGCATTCGATTAACGTGCCACAACACTGTACTTCACGACCGCAAAAGAAGAAGAAGAAGAAGAAGAAGAAGAAGAAGAAGAAGAAGAATTCAGGACACCGACTTGACTTCTCGTCAACAGATATGAGTTGAGCGGAGCAAGTGTGGATTTCCAGTCAAGTGTATACATGTTGGCCCCCCGCCCCCCCCCTCCGCCCCCCCCCCCCTCAGGCCCCCCAAAGGGCAACAGTCTTTAGATATCATCATTGAAGTCAATTGAACTAATCAATCGGCCCTAGGTAGCTCAGAATGATTTAATCTGTTCATCTGATTTCGTTTGGATTTGAACTTGGGTCTGTATTTAACCAGTTCATTGGATGTGTTCCGATTAAGCTAGGGCTGTTGGTGTATAGTACTGTATACGTGTTTTCAACGACGAGCAGGAATGAATTTACTAATTTAGTGAGTGTGTATGAGCGTCAAAGTGAATGAATCTAGCATAATGCTGACACCTTTTTCAACAAGCACATAGATGAGTTTTTCTCCGTTTTTTCAACAAGCGCAATACCTACATCATTGTCGGCCAGGTACATTGCGTATTCATCCTGTGCAAGCAGCATCTCTTCTGTCTGTGCCCTCTCTCTCAGATCTCGCTCTCTTGCGCAGTCCGTCTCCTCGAGATGATCCGTTAACCATCTCTCCTGCTGCTGCTGCTGACACTTGATACGCTCTTCGTATTGCAGGTCTTCGCCTGTGTTCCGTTCCAATTCAAAAATTCAATCAAATAAAAACAGCCCACACGACTACTTCATCAATCATCAATCAAGTATGAAAAAAGAGAGGGGGAAGAACGGGGGGGGGGGGGGGGGGGGGGGGGGGGGGGGGTTGGCGGGAAGGAAAAGGAGAGGCCAGAGTGGTAATCATAGAGTTGGAAGTTTCTGCAACACACTTCACTGGAAGGGGTGGGGGGGGGGGGGGGGAGGAAAAAGAAAAAGACAAAAGACAGAAGAAGAAGAAGAAGAAGAAGAAGAAGAAGAAGAAGAAGAAGAAGAAGAAGAAGAAGAAGAAGAAGAAGAAGAAGAAGAAAGAATATGCCGTCCACTCAGGCCTCTCCACCGCAGTGGGGAGGAGCGTGTGTGAGAATATACTCCATAATATATATTTTTTTAATTTTTACTCTTTTCTGACTTGCCGGCGGAATAGGAAATGGACTGATGCTCCCCAGAATGGAAAGGAGCCAGAACAGTAAGGTTCTGTTTTTTGGGAAAAGACAAAAAGAAGAAGAAGAAGAAAAGAGAGGCCAAGGCTGATGTGGCAGGCAGCCATTGAAGACAACATTGTTGCTGACGAGGCACGTTGCTGGAACGAAGCACTGCTGACACGGCAACTGAAGGTCAGGCCAGTGGAGAGAAGGCCTTGCGTGTGTGGGATCAGGCCGGCGGTACAACAAGCAGACATTGCTGTAGTGCCACGTGCCTGATTGCATGCCTGGCCAGACATCTGCAAGGAACAAAAATGAGAGGAGTGACAGCTAACTTCGATTGGATGTACTGTGATTATTGCTGCTGACGTGGCATATTGTATACTTAAAAAAAAAAAAGAAAAAAAAAAAGAATATATTTAAGGGACTGAGTTTAAGTATGTTTATTTGGGGGGATAAATTGCTAGAGGGAGGGAATCTGAGAAAAAAAACAGAGATGGGAGACTGTCCTCGATATTGAATGGGCTTAACTGGCAAGTCAATCCTTCTGAGAGAAGCAATCAATGCTGCCAGGGTTCCCCGGCCCGTAACGTCGGGAGTGGTGAAGAGTAAAAGTACTAAAAGACGTATTGTGAATTTGTGATGCTTTTGTGAATCTACTTACGGAACGCTGGGCCCAGTTCCCAGCCGGTGATGCTCCCCACCAAGAGAAAGGAGCCATAGTTTTGTTAGAAAAAAAAAAAGAAAAAAAGAAGAAGACGACAAAGAAAGAAGAAGAGGGTCACTGCATCGTAAGACTTTAGACACAAATCCAAGTGCAGCACACACATCAAGTTGTCATCAACCAATTTTGCGTCACTCATCCAGGGAGGGGCGGGGAAGGGAGTCATGAATGCAGGGGGAAGAAGAAGGCAAGGAATGGCCAGATTGCTATTCGCACGCAATAGTAAAAAATTAAAAATCCATTCCTTGCAAGCGTGTGCACTGCTCAAAAACCGCGCACACGTTCCTCTACATGTTTCAACCGGGTGTGCTCTGGTCTCATCAGGAGGCTCGCCACATAGCCCTTTGCCTTTCGGCCTGCCAGACTATCTGCATAGCCTACTGATGATGTTCAGATAGTGTATCTTTTTTTTTGAAAAAGAAAGCGGCAAAGGGGTGGCAGTCTGAGGCACCCTTGAGGTTTCAGCGTCCTCGAACTGCCCGGTACCCTGTTAACTCAGAGTCATTGTTCTCCATCTGATTCCAACAGAATTTGAACGCAGGTCTGTTTATCAACAGCTCGTGGGTGTAACATTCATTCAGCGGCTTTTCAGCCACATGGGTGGGGTCACATACTGTATCTTAAATTCTTTTCTTTTTCTTTCTTTTTTTTTTTCCTGTGTTGTTGGAATCGGTGTGACCATTCCTTTTTTTTTTTTTTTTTTTCTTCTTCGTCGTGACAATTCTAACAAAGCAATTGTGGCTAGCTCAGTTGGTACACCCACAAACTGTGAAATGTAGACCCAAGTTCAAATCCATAGTCTGACCAGAATAAAATACTTCCAAAAAAAGAAATTGTGATAAAACCTCATAAAAGACAGCAAAATTGAGCAAATGGCCGTAAAAAAAAAAGAAAAAAAAGTTAGCCGTCCCTTAGGCTTTGCTACCGTGAAGGGGAGGAGCGTGTGTGAGTACTTTATGTAACTCTTTCTTTTTTTTTTTTTTATTGTTTTAAACGGGCCCAGTATGTAACTCTTTTGACTTGTCGGCGGAAAAGGAACCGGACGGATGCTCCCCAGAATGGAAAAGGAGCCAGAGCCATAAGGTTCAGTTTTGTAAAAAAAACAAAAATAAAAAAAATCAAAGGGGATGCAGGTGACCATTGACCCAGGCATGCGCCCATTTCTTTTTTTTTCCCCTGAGTGAATGAATATTCAATATTCCCCCCACGAGCCGCACATGTCGTCCGCCACACCGTGCGGATCTGCTCGTGCGCCAAACGTGCGGAATTCTCCGCACAGCGTGCCGCACAGCGTGCGCTTGCATGTATGGGACATTCTCACGCTGGGACATCTTTTTCAGAACGAATGTCGACGTCGTTGTGGTTGAATACATCCAACTTGAAGAGAGTGCAGGTGTGAACATGGCCTAACTGCACAATGAACTCTCAAACACGAACGTCACAAAACGCGATTCATTACGAAGATAATGGAAGACTGCAGTGCACAGGCCATTAAAACATCAAAGTCGAAGTCAAAATTACCAGACAGACAGCAATGGAGGCCTTTCATACCTGCAAGCATTTTCAGGCTTGATGGGGGGTTGTTCTTCGCTGAGTCATCGATACGAGGAGGTAGCGACTTTTTCAGAAGATCGGGATCGTAAATGTCAAATTCACGGCGTGACGTGATGTCCTGATGTTCTCTACGGAAAACCACCTCCTCTTTGTTGATGGTCCTCGCGACATGCCTGAGGAACATAAACAGGAGGACAGAAATGCAAAATAGGAAAACCAGAACAAGGTCAAAAGGAGAGGTTCAAAAAGAGTACACCACAGAACTTAACGGTTGAACGAATCACAGCCCAATGCATGGAGTGAGATATCATCACACCTTCTCAGGCTTCTGCAACTCTCTCTCTCTCTCTCTCTCTCTCTCTTTCTACCGCCACTGAGCTCAATTCCACCAGGAGGAGGAGATGCTGCATGATATTCAAGCAACTATGGCTCAGCTCTGTTGCACACAAGGGACACCGGGCTTCACTGTCTTTAAGGCAGTTCCTTGCCTCCATATCCTAGTGTTGCTCCGGCACCTTTGACCGATGGAGGTCAGCATTCACCACCATTGAGCCCACCCCTTTAATCCACAATCTACTGCTGTTTGGGAGGGGTACATGCACCATTGTTGAGGCTGCTTCATACCAGTTTGATCTGAATCTAGTGCTGTTTGGGACGTGTACATGGACCATCGTTGAGGATGCTTCTTACCCTTTTTATCCGCAATCTASTGCTGTTTGGGAGGGGTACATGCACCATTGTTGAGGCTGCTTCTTACCCCTTTAATCCGCAATCTAGTGCTGTTCGGGAGGTGTACATGCACCATTGTTGAGGCTGCTTCTTACCTCTCTGTCCTAATCTAGTGCTGTGTTCAGCACCTTTGGCAGTGTCATTTAAAAAAAAATGTTTGCCATTGATAGCGAGTATTCGTGACTCAGTGGACACTCAGCGGGCTTCAGCAGGGGTTATTCGGGAATGTCAATTGCAGTTTCAACCTTCAATGATGGCTCGAGTTTCGACATTGTAGTTTCCTTTTGCGGACTGAAGTTCCATTCCCAATTGAGATCCCTGGCAAGGCTTGCCGCGCAATTGTATTGAAATTTGAAACAGGACATAGTAGGAACCCGGGGTTTGATTGCGCGGGGTTTCAAATTTCAATATAATTGCGCGGCAATCCTTGTGGGATGCGCAGGCGTTCGCATCAGAAACAGGGAGTTTCATTGCCATGATCGAATTCGGCGGCAAGGAAGAGGAATTACAACTTTCTATCGTGGACAACAACCTTATTTTTCGAATTTTCAACGCCTTTCCAAAACTCGATTGTATTTGACTTTTGGGTTCACACATCCTCCGTGACATCCGTTAAAATCGCAACGATACAGAGACTGAGAGAAGATATAGATTAGCCCGGCGCCCGCACAAGAAGGGGGAGAGGGGAGGGGTATGGGTTGACGACTTGACAATGTTGACATGCCTCTGTGCACGTGCATGTGTACGTGAGAAAGCAGTTCTTTTATTCTTTTTTCTTCTCCTATAAAAAAAAAAAAAACTTGGGATTCTGGCTCCTTTTCCATTCTGGGGAGCATCAGTCCGGTTCCTATTCCACCGACAAGTCATTGAGGATCACAATGGATACTCACGCACGCTCCTCACCATTACGGTGGAGAGGCTAGAGTGGACGGCATTGACTACTTTGCGAGGGAAGGATGTACCACCCCACACCACTGCCTAAGTTTTGCCTGCTTGACTTACTTTTGAGGTTGGATGCTGGTCTGATTTCCACTGCCCCTATTCGTTGATGGTAGGTACCTTATACCTAAGAGAGCCCTGGCTAGCTTGGTTCTCTCAGCCAGTTGGCTGTCGGCTTTGCTTTAGGTGTTGGAGATGCTGGGAAATCTTCATTCTGTGCATCAAGCTAAAACCCTGCACCCTATTTGCCTCTTTTTTCGGGGTGGGGTTTGGGGAGAAAGTAGCTGCTCTTGTGTCTGACTTAGAGATTGAAAGAGTAGGACTTTAAGGGATGATGTGGTTGATGCGTGGTCGATGACAGAGGGAGAGAGATACAACTGGGCCCAGGGCCAGGGTAACTTTACCGTTGAAGTTGGAACTAGGAGAGCCTGGGAGTTGAACCTTCTGGGAGGTTCTGGATACCTAAAACCCTAAACCCTAAACCCTATAGATTGCTCTGTGGCAGTTTCCTGTTGCCTGGTGATTCGGGAATGCGGGTTGGAGTGTCGGTGGGGTTGGGGAGAAAGGGGAAGAGGCTGTGGGAGGGGGGGGTTGGGGGGAGAGGGGAAGAGGCTGTGGGAGGGGGAGGTATAAAACGGGGGGATGATTACACGGTGTAAGGGGGATGATAGTAGTTGTGGGTTAGCGGAGTTAGTTGGGTGCGTGATTGGGGTTGAAGGGTTGCAGAATTTTTCTGGGGCAGGTGGAAGGTGGTGAGGTAGGGGAGAGGGAGGGCGTGTGTGAGGTGAGGGTTTCACTGATTACAGGATTGCTTCTAGTTGTGCGTTGGGTGGTTGGGTTGCGTGTACACTTGAGAAATGGGGAATGTGATGTTAGAGAGTGGTTTGAAGTGCTGTTAAAATTGGAACGATACAGAGAATGAAGATGACCATGGCCCCTGCGCAAGGATGACACGCATAAATCGAGAAATGGTAAGATATCTACACCAAATTCCCAAAGCTACTCAAGGAAATAAGTTCAAAGGTAGCCCAAACATCAAGAAAACTAGCAGCAAAGAGGAAGGAAAGAGAGGCAGCACTAAAGGATGCAATAGACATAGCAGAACTCAGCTTACGACAAAACCCCAAATTGGCTTTCTTCTCCGAACTCTACTCAAAATCTAAAGAAGAATTAACAGAATGGACAAAACTAAAACTCAGGGGCCTTTAAGTAAGAGCAAGAGTGAGGGACTGGGAGTTAAACGAGAAAATGTCCAAATTCTTCTTTCAGAAATTAAATCCAATTCCAAAAACTCCAAGATAGAAAACCTCCTAGATGAATATGATAACCCCACTACAGAAACCACGCAATTGATCAACATAGCTACCAAATTCTACAAACAACTCTACACTAGCAGAACGACTGCAGAAAACAACGATGAACTGAAAAGAGCCAGAGCGAAATTCCTGACTCACTTGGATCATAGCCTATCGGCCGAAGCTGCCAACAAACTGGAGGAACCAATCACACTTGAAAAACTCCACGTAGCCCTCAAGGACCTAAAACCCAACAAAGCACCAGGCAAAGATGGCCTCTCAAAAGAATTCTGGGCCGCAAGCTGGCCCTCACTCGGCCCTCTTTACCTACGCTTCCTTAATAAGACATGGGAACATGAATCCTCGGGACCAGACTTGAGCACCGGAATTGTGACCTTACTCCACAAGAAAGGAGACAAAAAGAACATTAAAAATTACAGACCCATCTCCCTTCTCAATGTTGCCTACAAAATCTTGGCCAAACTCCTAGCCACAAGAATCAACCACATCACCGGTAGCTGTTTCCATCTAGACCAAACAGGATTCATTCCAGGCAGGCTCATACTAGACAACGTTATGACCCTTTGTGAGTCCACCACGCTAATCACTCAGAAACGACTAACGACAACAATACTCTTCTTTGACTTTGAGAAAGCCTACGACCAAGTCAACTGGGATTTCCTACAGACCTGTATGGAGAAATGGGAGTAGGCCCGAACTTCCGTAAATGGGTGAGAATCCTCTACAAAGATGCACAGGGCATAGTCCACGTAAAAGGCTTCCTCTCCAACCCATACAAAATGACAAGATCGATAAGACAGGGAGACCTACTGGCAGCCCCCATTTTCCTCTTCGTTATGGAAGCAATCGCGGCCTTCCTCAAAAAGGACAAATTCATAGAAAGATTAGATAGTATCAAGGACGATAGAGGCCACACTCTCCACCTTCCGTCTACCCTACTTTCGCAGATGACCTCACGGTCCTTATAAGAGCATCAAATTCTTCATTCCAAGCCCTCACAAGGGCTATGCAAGCCTTTCAATTAGCGTCAGAAATGAAAGTGAATTGGACACCCCCTCCCATAGAATTATCCCCAGAAGGGTTACAATGGACAGACCCAACCACACCAATCCGCTTCCTAGGCATAAACCTCTGCACAAAAGGGTGCCACCCCTCGTCGGCCGCATCCCTAATGTCGTTACTGATCAACAAAATGCACAGTTGGCAAGGAGTCCACACCTCACTTCTCGGAAGAGCCTTAGCCGTGAATAACTCAATCTTATCAATGATGTGGTTCCCCACCTTAGACTTCCAAAAACAAATCCACCACGGGACAGCCGCCTACATTTGGACAGGCAACCCGGATAAACAACATTTCATTCACAAAGTCGCATGGCAAATCGTCACTCAATCCAAAGACAGAGGAGGGCTAGGTATTATAGACCCGGCTCGACAGATTGATGCCCTCCAGACTAAATGGATAATCAGACTCACCTTGCAAAATAACCTACAATGGGCACCACTGACCCTAAGTCACATCAAGGATTTGGCACCTTATAAATCCCCCCTCAACATATCATGCTTCTTTTGGATCTATAACAAGTCATGGCCTTTGCCAAGAGAAAAGAACAACAAAAACCAACCCCCCCCCCCAACACAGACGAGGAAACAGAGAAAGGAAACACAAAATCATTATGGGAATAATTCATCCGTATATGGAGAAAGATCTTCCCACATAATAAAATTGGCCCAAAGAAAAGAGATGAAGTTCTCAGACAGCCCCTTTTTGGCATGGATCAAAGACGAAAATGGCCTCAACTTCTCTCTCACCAAAACAGACATCAAATGGGGACATTGGGTAGAGAAAGGCGTATGGCAAGCGCAACATCTCTGGAATGAACCAACAAACCGGAAGACTGCAAAGGATCTGAGGAACTTACTAAAAGGTTGCCACAACTTGCAGGCCAACATCACTCACATCATTGAAAGCATACCTCTAGAATGGCGCCAATTATTGAAGACTAATCGAAAGTGGGCGTGGGGAGATTGGGCATCGAACAGAGAACAAACACAACCCACAAAAATACTTACAGAATAAGAACTGGATACTCTGTTTCATCCATCCCCTACAGGAACCAGGAAACCCAGCTAGTTTCATCGGCAAAGAACCAAGGGCGGAGAGGGGCTTTCATATCAGCCAACCTCAAAAGAATCTGGGTCATAGAAGGAGACAAAAACAGAGTCTACCGACCCGAAACAAAAGTAAAACACCTAGAAATTGATCCAGTTGAATGGTCCTGGACTAGAACCAGCCCGCATGCACTCACTGACTACACACCCAAATTAGGCTACAAGCTCCACAACAAACCCCCCTCCCCTCTAACCACACAGTCATACAAAAAAAATGGGAAAAGGAGGAAAATACCATCACAATGGTCAACATCAAACCATCATGGACCTCTATTTTTTGCACAAGACCACCGAAATTAGCTAGTCTACTATGGCTCATAACATTTCGTGCAGTACCCGTCAATCTCTGGCTATCGCAAAGAAGAAACAAAGATAATTCCACCGAGCAAACATCCTGGTGCAGGGTGTGCAACACCCAACTCGAAGAATCACTCAACCATTGCTTCATAGATTGCCCAAAGACAAAGCAACTCTGGCACGATATAGAATTAACCTGGAACAAACACTCCAATAAAACCATCGCGATCAACCCAGGCACCCTTTTCCTAGAAGTAGAACAAGACCCACCCCTCAAAGGTTTTGAGCTTATCTTCTTCTCACTCATTAGAAAATCAGCCCTGTAGGCTATCTGGAAAAGGAGATGCATAGCAATTTTTGAGGATTCTAGTAATACCCATGAAAACCCCCTCATAGCCATTAAACAGACAGTCGAGACTGAAATCCAAGCACAATGGAACAGAACATACACGAAACTCCAATCCCTACAAAATGCACCAGATAAGAAACAAGAGATCATTAATAAATTCATTTCCCTCAATCTAGGCCACGGGAAACTAGGAACAATTGAAAGAGAAAGCCTGCGCTTACAAGACTGGTTAGTTATGCCCACATCAAATACCCAAAATCCTACCACTCCGACACAATCCACATTAACAAACCTATCCCCCATCGGACTAAATGGAACAGATACTGCTCTATGAACTTCTTCTATCAACCCAGCCTAATCGCCTACCACCGCCCCCGCCCCCCCCCACAAGCACCGCTCATCATCAAACATCACCCGAACTCACTCAAACTCACCCTCACCAATTTAAATACCTTCCCATCCTACAGGTCTCCTGCCCACACCACGAACCCAACACACCCACGTCTTCCACACCACACTAAATCCTAACACCAATTACCCATCACACCACCCCCCATCAAGCTACACGGTCCAAGCTCCCGATAATAGCTCCGTCAACTGGTAACCTGCCTCCTAGATCTCTAAGGTGTAGGATTTTAGTTTCAGACACTACTTTCAAGGTTGCATTCTGACGCTACTTCCAGACGTTACTCCAACTTGGTCAAAGCGACACCAGTAATCTAGGGTTCAGGGTTTTAGCCTCGGCCGTCACTTTCAAGGAAAATTGCTCCACAGCAAACCGGAATTAGAGCAGAAGGGTTCGTCACACCCTCTGTCCCGGAAAAACAGAGACACGCCATAGGATCAATTGGCAGTGAGGAACAGACAGAAAAAAGACCGGATAGTTCCAGCAAAGTCAAGTAGCTAACACGCTTAGCTTCTAAAGAAAAAACAGCCTAGAATAGGCTAACTTAAGCAGGGGTGAAGATCGGTACATCCTTCTTCAAGGAAGTAATCAATGCC